CGCCGCCGAGCCCGGGGGACGGGCCGCCCCCGAGCAGGGACTGCTCCGGCTCGCAGCCGGACTGCGCCGTCCCCGCGCAGGACAGAGCCCTCGCGCAGCCGGGGTCGCCGCTGGGCAGCGCCGCAGGTGGGCGGCTTCACTGCGACCTCCTGCCGGGTCTCTGGGGAAGGGCTGCGACCGGAGGGCTGGCGCAGGGGCTGGCGCAGGGGCTGGCGCAGGGGCTGGCAGCGCTGCTGCTCGCGGAGGACGCTGACCCCAGCCGCAGCGTGCTGGGGGTTCCTCGGGAATGTTCCCTCGGGAACAGCTGTCTCGGGTGCTGACTGGGTGAGTCGCTTCGGGCAAGGAGAGCAGATCCCTGCATCTCATTTCGCCCCTCGGTTCCGTAGCCGACAGGGTGCTGGAGGCGCTGTCTGCGCCGAGGCTGACGCCGCTGCATGCGAGTCCCCGCGGTCCCCACGCCGTGGTCACCAAGGCACAGCGCTGGCCGCTGCTCYCAGGCCGTAAATGCCCCGTGTTTATTTCCGATAAACCCGAACGCGGCCCGTGTGTGAGCAAGGAGGGGCCTTCCCGCCTCGCTGCAGGGTGGTGCAGAGCGGCAGGAGCCTCGGGAGCCCCGTGGGGCTGCGCAGGAGCCTTCCCAGGCTGGCCTGGCTTTTGGGGAGAACTAATTGCTCTGGTGCCGTAATCCGTCATCCAAAAGGGGCGTTTGGGGATTAACACAGACCTTGAATTCCAGGTGCTGGGACCGGTTTAGCTCTGCAGAGATGYGAGGTGGCTGCTGCGGGTGTCCCCGGGGGGAGCCGAGCGGGGCTGGGGGGGCTCGCAGCCCCAGGGCCCCGCGTGCGGATTGACTGGTCGTGCACGCAGGGCCCTGCACGTCTCGGTCCCGGGGTGCGTCCCGGCGGTGCTCCCTGCMTCTCTGCCTTTCATTGTGACCGTGTTCTCCTTCGTTCCTAGGGCAGTTGAGTGGGAAGCAGGTTCTGTCTTCAACGTCGGATGAGCGGGTAAAAGACGAGTTCAGTGACCTTTCTGAGGGGTGAGAGAAGAGTGGGTTTCAAATAGCCTTAATGTCTCTTTGCGAGTGTGAAATGACGAGCCTCRGAGAGCTCTTTCCCCACACGGGACTGCTCCGCGGAGGCGCCTGGAAGCGGCGGCCGATGCGCAGAGCGGTGGCTGCGTCTGCGCGCGGGGCCCGCACGCGCTCACCACGCGCTCCTGCTGCTTCCAAGGATCCGCTCCCGAAGCGACTGCGCAGGGGCAGCCGTCACCGCCCGGCTCTGCCAGCCCTGTCCCTATGCAGGGCTCTCCAGCTCCTCCTGCTTCCAGCCGAATTCCCATTTGCAGCCGCTCCAAACGAGCCCTGGGTGCAGGCTGCCCGGCCTGAGCGCTCAGGGAGGAAGTGGCACATGCAGAAATCCTCCAGTTCCCTCCCAGGGAAAGCTTGTGGAGCTGGAAGCCCCAGTGGCATTTGGACACTGGCAACTGAGCAGTTTTTCTGATCACTGGAATTGGGTGTAATTGCAGAAGATCAAGCTAAAACCTCCAAATGTAGGTAGTTAAAGTGAGACTTGTAGATAGAACGATAATTGCGTGTGTTCGTTGTGAGTCTAAGCTGCTAAGGGCCAAGGGCTGACTTATGTCAGGGTGTCAGCTGCACCTGCCAGCTGTTGCACTGGGAATGCCACGGTGAGCCCCTGCTGCCCCTTTCCTGGTTTTGCAATTGTTTTGTATAGTTTGGGATTAAGAAAATAGAGMGAGAGAGAGTGGCCACTACATCTGAGGAAGTCGTGAGTGACTTACAGCTTAACTAACCCGCGCCAGACACTGATATTACAGTCTTGCTCTACAGAATTATTTTTCACAGTACAGAAAGTGGTGGCAACATTTCTCAACAATAAATCGATCTCTTCGTAGTGGCCACTCTTTTCTCCTTATCGTGTTCCCGCTATTCTTACGGAGCTCTAGTCGTAAGAGGAAATCATTTTGCAGTTTGCTGTATTACCCCAACGCAACTAAAGTCCCAGTGATGATGGGGGAGGAGAAAACGTGAAGCCTCCTGCTCTTCTGTGGGAGAGAGGGATGCGCTGGAAATGAAGGACAAGCGGTGCTGCCGCTGCAGGCAGCAGCCCGTGGGTTGCTGGTGCTGGAGGGTCAGCCACGTGCGGTGTCAGTAACGTGTGTTGTCTTTCCCTGCCAGGGACTTCCTGAGCGAGGATGAAAATGAGAAGAGAAACATGCAGTCCTCAGATGACTCCTTCGAGCCTTACCCTGAGAAGAAGTAAGGGGGTTTCCTGCTCCGAAGCGCAGCGGGGTTAACGGAGGAGGCACGGAGGGGGCTGCCGTGCCCCTTGGCYGGGGGCAGGGGATGGAGCTGAGCAAGTCACCCTGTGCTCTTGGCGGCCTCGGTTCCCTCCTCCCTGCGCTGGGGATAGCGGGCATTCCTGGGGATTCCCTGAGCTGCTGCCAGGGCACAGCGAGGCCGCGCTTGACAGTTGCTGCTGGGAGGAGCACTGCACGTGCTCCTCGAGTGACAGCAAGTCAGGCACCAGCCCGAGCCATCAGCGCAGGGCTGACGTCCAGGCACAAAGACGTGGGAGGATTTAAATCAATGTGAAATACTTAATAATTATTGTTTGTCTTCCTCTCTCCTTCTCTGAGGGTCTCCAGTAAGAAAAGTGACGGCAAAGAAGCTAAGAGGGCAGAAGAGCCCAAAATAAGGAAGAAGCCAGGGCCCAAGCCAGGCTGGAAAAAAAAAATCAAGTGTGAGAGGTAAGAAGGGGGCCCCGGGTGGGCAGCAGCGCCGTCCCGCTGCGCCGGCTGACGGCAGCGCTCTGCTTTGCAGGGAGGAGCTGCCTACCATTTACAAGTGTCCTTACCAGGGATGCACGGCCGTCTACAGAGGGGCAGATGGCATGAAGGTAAGTTCAGCGCTTGCTGCGCATCATCAGCTGTGGCTTTGAGAACCRAAACACAGATTTCATTCACCCGGCGGCTCTGCGGGAGGCAGGGGCTTGTTCTGGGCTCCAAAAAACCCCAGGAGCCGCTGGGGCTCAGCAGCAGCCCTCAGAAACGAGCCCCATTGGGCCCTGTGAAGTCCCTGCAGTCACATGTAGTTTTGGCTGCAATTCCCATTTTTTTCGCAGTGAAAGCACTCAGGTGTAGACCTGTCACGAGGGCTGTCCCGTGGGCTTCGGGAGCCAAGTTTGTCATCAGGGAAAAATCCAGCCCTCGTCTCTCCTGGACCATCAGCTGAGAGCAGCTCTGACCTTTCTTTTCAGAAACATATAAAAGAGCATCATGAGGAAGTTCGGGAGAGGCCCTGTCCTCATCCCGGCTGCAACAAGGTGTTCATGATTGACCGGTACCTACAGCGCCACGTGAAGCTCATTCACACAGGTGCGTCACAGCCGGGCCCAGCACAGGCTCAGGCAGAGGCAGGGGGAGGAATTTGGGCTCCGCTGGCGTCACGGGCAGTTGCCTGCACGTGTTTCGTGTACTAAGATACGGCAGAATTGCTGAGTCTGTCCCCATTTCTGTTGCAGAGGTACGTAATTATATTTGCGATGAATGTGGGCAGACCTTTAAACAACGCAAACACCTCTCAGTCCATCAGATGCGGCACTCGGGAGCGAAGCCCCTGCAGTAAGTGCACCCGGACCCCTGCTCAGCRGGTTATAAGGAGGGGGACAGGAGCAGTCAAAGTTTACAGAGCTAAGGACAGYGACACCACACAAGCTCCATCTGCAGCTGGCAGTAGCAGGGCGGTATCATGGCCCTATGTGGACTGCACTGGGTTTTACAGCRGGTATCCTTTAGGGAAGATGTCTCTGGAGTCACTTTGGGAGGTTGTTCGAAGCCCCAGAGCACCCAGGGCTGCTGAGGAAATCCAGCTTGAAGCATGCAGCTCCTGTGGCCAAATTTCATAACTTCTGAGAGCAAGTATCGAAGGGCAGGATTTGTSTAATGTTGAATATGGACATTTCAGGCAAAGGGAAGCCTGTAGTACCTGAAAAGTTGAGGTGTTTTGTTGTAACCTCTGCCCCTTGCAGGCTTTCCTATTTCTTGGAATGTGTTTTGCTGTCCTGGTACCACATGTGCTCAGTCACGGTGTATTAGACTCAAATGCTCACCCTCTTCCACGCTGTCTGCTCTGGCACTTGCTGCCTTTTCTGAGGGAGCCCTTTGTCTGATCCTGTTGCACTTGGGGCTTGGTGCGAGGCCGCTGCTTGTCTTGCAGGTGCGAGATCTGCGGCTTCCAGTGCAGGCAGCGAGCGTCGCTCAAGTACCACATGACCAAACACAAAGCCGAGACGGAGCTGGAATTCGCCTGCGACCAGTGCGGGAAGCGCTTCGAGAAGGCCCACAACCTTAACGTCCACATGTCCATGGTGCACCCTCTGACCCAGACTCAGGACAAAGCCAAGGCACTGGAGCCAGAGCCCATTCTCCTCCTAACTACTTCAGGGACTGCAGAAAGCCAGGCTGTAAAGCCCGAAGTGACTGCGCAGCAGGAGCCCACCTGAGGAGCGCTGGGCAGCTTGCCCAGGCCAGCCTTGAAGAACCCGTACAGCCGAGCGGAGGCTTTTAATCTCCGTTTTAGTCTCCCCAAGAACTCAGTGAAATTAGCTTCAGCTTGCTCAGAAAAAGCTTGTTCTCATGCTGTGATTCTCCATGCTCACGTCTGATTCAGCAGTGTTGTACTAAGAGTCTGTCTGCTCCGAGGGGACAGGTCTTTGGCAGCGCCCCGTTGTTGTCCCCTTCCCCAACACACACAGTTGTAGAAACCAAGCTGTCCCACAACTGTTACCTACCTGCACGAGCTGCTGCCTGTCTCTAACTGCCCTTGGGGGCAGTGAGGGTGCATAGGACAGTGGAGAAACTTAAGCAGACATTTTGTTTTTGAAAGAATTATGATTCCCAAAGCAAGTCTAAAATGAAATTTGTAACCTACTTTTTATTGTAACAAAAGCTTCATGGTTATGCTTGTAATAAATTATTTACAAAGTAATTTCCATGAAACAGCACTAGTAAGAAAGGTAGCGGCGTGTCTGTGGCTGCCGCCCTCATGCTGTCCCTACGGGCAGCATCTTCYGCTCAGTTCTGCTTCCCTGTGGTCACTGTCACTCAGAACAGCTCCAGCTCTTCATCSAGCTCCAGGRCTGCAGCAGCCCTGGACAAGTGCASGAGGGCACCTCTCAGCTCTGGGTCAATCTTTTCACACGTGTCCAGTAACTAGGGACAGGGAGAACGTCTGGTATTAGACCCAGTCTTGCTTCCTCAAAGCAAGGCAGAGCAACACCAGATCACCTTGCTGCTTCTGAGCAGACTGCAGCATGAGGGAAGCTGGTGCTGACTCGCACAGAAAAAAACAGGGTCTCCTGGCTGAAACTACCGTGGTTGCAGGAATTTCAACACCTGCCACTTACCTGTGCTTGGTATTTCCCCTAGGAGCAAGCATTAAGCAAGGCGGGGGGGGGACTGCAGCAGAAGGAAGTGTTTATGGGTGCTGAGAAAGACTGAGCCTGCAGCCCGAGGGAGCAGMGGTGGCTACTGCACTAGCTGGGCAGCAGGCGCCCTCCCCTGGTCCAAACTGCCTCACRGAGCTGGCCGTTCATGTCCCAGGCTAAAGAACAGCACGTACCGGCTGAACCGATCCAAGGCTTCTGGGGGGGCAGCGTGGAATTGCAGCGAGCAGGAACTGACGGGCCTTGGTGATCACTTCCAGGGAATCCACCTGGAAGAAGCACRGCAGATCAGGACCCAAACCCCTAAAAGGCGCCACTCATAAGAGCAAGATGGGAGCCRCCACGCTGCACAGTGCTCTGTGTGCAGGGTAGGCAGCTCACATGTTTGATGACTACATCAATTCCCAGGTCCTGCCCAAGCAGGACAGCACCTTAGTTTAACCATGTGCTTTCACCAAAGGCRGGAGGAACAGAATAAAAAAAGGGAGGGAAGAAAAGATGGAACTTTACTCACGTGCTCTGCAAGGCCCGGGCCTTGTCCTGCCTTATCGGCCTGTGGCAGATCTTCCCCTTCCAGAAAGAGCTGCAGCAGCTGCATGTACAGATGGAGTGCCACGCAGAGGAAGGCTGGCTCTCTCGTGAACAGCTCTTGGCGAAAGCCAGGGATAAGGCTAGAGGCAATCACACAGGGTCCAGTCAGTGCTGGCTCCATGTTATACTCAAAGCCAGGCAACAGCACAGGACGAGCACARCAGACGCTGCCGCTGCCGTCCCTTTCACCTTCCTGCGGGAAGGCAGGTTGCTCCGCTGCCCGGAGCATGGAACAGCCATGGACCTGTTCCTTCAGAGCACGAAGCTCGTGGGGAAACTGCTCCAAGAGGAGTGCCTGAAGAGCAGCCCTGCCCCAAGAGCATCTTCGCCTGCACAGCCCACCTAAGAGCTCATCTCACTTGCAGGCCAGCTGAACAACTACCTTCCTATCAGCTGCTGAACATGCAAACCACTAACCACATCCTTCCTCCCAAACAAAGTCCTTCCGAGACCAGCAAGACATACCTGTAGAAAGCAACAGGCAGGAGCCGGAGGTGATGGTCCGATGCTGCACTGTGCAGAATACGGTATTTTCTAGGGACTGCAAAGAGCAGAAAGAAGAATCAACCATCTTTAGTGATCCTCATGTCACACCGTGTACTTCTACAGCAGCAGAGAGGCAGCAGCTTCTTCCCAGCCCACAATAAAASACAACATCTGGGTGCAGCGAATCCCTGGAGAAGCTCTTCCCTCTAAGGCTCTCTTCCAGGTGAAACTACTGAGTTTTGGTCAYTCTCAGTTACCAGCATCTGCAGGGCACAAGCAACGTGTTCCTACCTCTTACAAAAATGTTTGTTCTACACTGCTTACAAGGGCCCATCAGCTCCTGCTTACGACTACCCTCTTACATCAAGATCAACCATTGCCACCCTGCAGYGAGCTCTTCCACCCCTCGGAGGCAGAGCTTGCTCACCTTTTTCTCCCAGCTGAAAGAGAACTGGCCAGGAGACACCTCTTTCTTCCAGGCACCGCAAGATCTCCAGGGACCATTCCAGAGACTTCTGAAAATCCACTCCTTCCTGGGTGTCAGAAAGAACATGAATAGTTTTAATCACACTGAAACAGAAAGGAAGGAGAACAGAGCATTTCATTTGTGTGATAAGTGCTTAACTTTATCCGCAGTCTTTCCTYGCTTAGCACGGTCACAAGCTACCAGCTCCTGAGCACACCCTYGCCAACTGTGCCCAGCACAGGCCACTCCAAGTCCTGCGCCCACCCCATCCTGCTCTCTGCAGCACACTCTTCCCTCTCATCCTAATGACAGCATGGCCTGGGTCTGGATGGGGGTGGCAAGGGGAACACATTATTCATTTTACTTGAACAAACAGATTTTGGGGGGGGTAATTCCAAGTTCTTACCCCAATGACTCTCTCTGGAGGAGACTAGAGAAAGTGAAACTGCAAGACTGTTTTCAACTTACTGTTTTCAATTTGAATTTACGCCCTAGTCCCATCTGTTTGGTGACTACACAAATGGTTGCAGTTGAGAAACAGCAAAGGGACAGAAACAAACATTCATGTGCAGGAAGATGTTTAGGGCGGACAGCTGCTGAAAGGAACCTGTCAGACCATCTTTGCTCCCTTGTTTAGTAGTGTTAATTGACCCAGAAACCCGCGYTCCTCCTCATTTGGAATCCCTTCCCATGTGAAATACCAGGCATGTTTCCAGCCAGAAAAAAAAAGTGTTTTATTAGATGTGAAATGCTACACCAAAGCCAAGATACGAGAGTTCAAGCACTGGCCAAGAGGTATAAAGGAAACTGAAAACAGTGAGTCATGCAGGAAGACAAATAAAAGCTACCATAGTAAAGAGGGAGATAACATCAGTTAGAAGAGAATAGTTTAATCTGATATGAACAGAAAGACTTTCACCAGGCTCTGTCTGGGACTTTGCTGATCTCTTCCTTGTGGCTGAGCAACTACCAGCCTTCAGAGCAGTGACACAAAGCGTTTCAGGCAGCAAGCCAAGCGGATCAGACACATTTAGTGTCACAAGAATTCCCCAAGGGCTGAATTTACCTTTGGTGCTATTTTTGCAGAGATAAGATCCAGGAGYGAGAAGAACAGCAGTGAAACCAGAAGCTGCAAGGGGAAGATTGCCTGTTAGTTACATCTGCAGTGATGACTCAGAACTTGCACTTTCCCATCAGGAAATAACAGTTCACCCAGTGTGTTCCCAGCAATGACCTGGGTAAACTACAAGCTGATCCCATGACATTTCCTCTTCTCATGCAGGGAGATCTGCCCTTTAAAGCTGTCCCTCACCTGACGTGATTCGGCATCTGACCTCCCACCAGTCTTGAAGCCCACACAGATCTGCACAATTCCACTGAAACTGGAGCAGTTTCAGGGGAAATTCAAAACCAGGCAGCTGCTACAATCGGCTGGACACCTAGTTACACTCAGCCCTCCCACTATTCTCATTCTTTCTGTTTTCCTCCTCCTCTTTTAAGGCATGCTTTTGAGACAGAAATAGTTTTTATTGCACGTGTACTAAGTTAACCTATCAACTCAGGGACAGCCATCACTCAATCTCTGCAACACTCTGTCCAGCTTTGTGATTTTCTTGTTTTTTGTTTTATTTTAAGCAGCTATTTAAAAGTTCTTTCCAACTTCCCAGAACCTAAGTTAAAAGTTTAAATTCGAAGCAACTTTGCCTCTAGGAAAAATATGTAGTAATTGGACATTTCCAGCTACATTCTGTGAATTAGCCACCAGCAAGATTTTCCAACAGGGTTGAGAGATAAAACAGTCATTTCTCAGGTGAGGATGTTCTCCTTAATAGTGGAGAAAAGCAGACGTGTGAAATGTGCCCAGTCTTGCCTGCTCTGTCTCAGTCCCCAGCCTCTTCAGTGCATCTCTCACTCTTCCCCGCGCCGACTGCTGCTGAACAGCAAAATGGAGGAAGGCAGCAGAAATCCAGGGTGGGCCCGAGACAGGGAAAACTGCTTCTGAGGAAAGGAAGCTAGGAAACAAAAAGAGCATGGGATAATTCGGGAGAAAGAATCCTCTGGGAGAAGCAGTGAATGAAGAGGGAAAGCAGGGGCTTTGATAGAGATATTCAAGTTTGTGGTGGGAGACAAACCCCGAACCTTTTCTCCTACTTTTCTCCTGAGGTTGGATGCTAAACAGTTAATAGATAAATAAATAAAACACAGAAAACACAATTTTAATCAGAGATTGGGTAGGCAATTAGCTGTATGCACTTGATACAGAAGTATGTGATTTTTCRTTGCAAACATTTCCAATGAGATTTTTATATTAAATCCCCAGCTTTTTTGGGGGAAAAACTGCAGGATCCTGCACAGAAGCAGGCAGTAGTTTTAAGAAACCAGAGATTCACTAAATCCAGAAAGCAAAGGGTGCGGCAGCTGAGCAAATGACTCAGTGCTGGGCTAAGGACTGTTTCCAGTGTTTAACTAACAAGGACTCTGCCTTCCAATCTCCTCTAAAAACGACTCTTTTTCCTTATGGTGAAACACTTTGACCTATATTACATGAAAGGCCAGACTGAATAATTATAACGACCCACTTTGAGCTAGAGGGGAAGAAAACCTCCACAAAGGAATCTGTGCAGCTGTCCTCCAAGCTGCAGCGCACAGCAGCAACTCCCAGCGCTGCTGAACCTGGTCTGCCTCGGAGCAGCCCGGCTAACCCCGAGCCCCGGGGCCCGCGCCGCGCTGCTCACACGCACCTGGCCGCCGCGCTCCGGCGTTCCCGCAGCGCCGCCAGCGCCGCCGCGAGCGGCGCTCCGAAGAGCCTCTGCCACTGAGAGCAAAGCACCGGCTCCAGCCTCGG